TTCCTAGGCTTACTGGACGGAGCGACGTCTCTCTCCGACGTCTTTCCCCGGTCGGATTGTTGTACACGCGCGTGTCGTCGGCGTATCTACGAGCGTTGTACTCGAAGGCAATGCATCGAGCAGCGCGTACATACTCGTCCGACGTGGAATGTGGTCCGGTTGCCGGGCGTGCGCACGCGGCCCGCCGCTCGCTATACTTCCCGTTTTTTATTGCCCCGTAATGCATTAGCCATAATAGCCGTACGCACTTAATGGACTGTAGCCTCGTTACAGTATGCCACGTCGTGGGTGGATACGCTGCCTGACCGCTTCTCTCCCTGCCTTTCTGCCCGCGGTGCGCGCTCGCGCGTGCACGCGTCTCCGATACGGATTTGCAAAAGGGAAGAGAGGAAGGGAGAGGGGAGAGATACCGGTTATCCCCCTTCGCTTCCGCGGATTTCACGATCACGGAAACGACAAGCGATCTCCCCCCCTCCCCTCCCCTCCCATCGCAGCTTTTCTTTTTTTTCTCACCGCTCNCATTTCTCGCCCTCCCCCCGCTCGATCCGGGGGGGGATACCTATTCCGTGACTATGTTCGGTGGAATGCGTTGCTGGTGTACCTTGATACCGGGTGAAGTATATATGGCGTCGGTTGCCGAGATTTAGCCGAGCTGAATGCGCGCGGCGATATCGCGCGGACACGGGGCAAATTGAGAAAATGGGATGGGCGATGGCGAGGAGATAGGGGTGAGGAAAGGATAGGTAGGAGGGGATGGGAGCGCGTAATAACGCGGGGACGGTGCGTACGGTGAGGAGTAGCTGGAGTGAATGGAGGATGCTTCGCTCTCGCGTACGGTTCGAAGCGACAAAAGGAATATACGGTCGATTATAAAAGAGAGCGGAACGATGAGTTTGTGAGCAATGGTTCTGGAGAGGAGAGGAAAGAGAGAGAGAGAGAGGTAGCCAGAGGCTTCTTTTTCGTGTCTTATTTGTGTATGCGAGTGGTAATGAATAAATACATTCTTGTCTCTCTCCCTCTCTCTCCGTTTGTCTCTCTTTCTCGGTACATTGTCATTATTGTTTCGTTTTATGCGCTCAAAGCCAACTGGCAGAGTTCCCTCCCGCCACAATGGCATCTAACTCTCTCTCTGCCACGGCCAGCAAACACGCGCGCAACGGAGGCACAAAGTGCGCGCGATGCCATCGCGGTTAATAAAAATAGTTTACGTCCGTGCAATCCGATGCACACCGTCCTGCCTCCATCGATGATCCACGGATTCCCCTCTCCACCTATTATTATTATTATTATTATTCTCCGTATTATTCGTTAAAACAATCATACGTATTAAAATCAATGGAAGCAATATAGTTATACCGTAGTTTCGAGGCCAGTCATGATCCCTATCTATCGATAATCACGATCTCGAAAGGAAACGATATTCCCAGTCCCGTTCCACTACTACTACTACCAGAATCGTTCTCACGAAGAAGACGATACGCCAGAGCGTGCGAGCGTAGCGTAAGAGAGAGAGAGAGAGAGAGAGATAATGGAAATCTAACAGAGGATCGCGCGGAAATGCAATATTCCTGGAGACAGGAGGAGGATTCGTTGGAGATTCGTTCGAACCGATACCGTATACCCATGAGATCGAATTTTTCCCCTCCTCCTTTTCCCCTCTTCCCCCCATATAGAGGTATATTCCATATTGCTCGATCGATCGAGGAGGATCTCGAAAGAGCGTCTCGAGACGCTCGTTCCACGCGGTCTCGGGCGCGGGAAGAAGTGGAAAGATATTCGCAGAAGTCTCGGCCACTTTAGCAGTGGCGTGCACGCGTGTGCGGCGCGGAGGGCAATCGCTAGGACTGGTTTTCAATATGACTCACGCGTGTAACACCGTTCGATCGTGTATCGGTGTGCTCGTATATCAAAACCAGTAGGCACCCCCGACATTGCACGATCAAACACGCCGTTGTCCGCCAAGTCTGTATCCGTACACACGAGGCCGGGGGACGACGCCTTAACGCCGAACCGATCGTGCGCGCGGCTGCTCCCATGCATTATACGCACGGCGAGCCGCGAGCCGCCTCTCCGCGAGGCGGCGTGTGTCTCCGATTTTTCCAGACCGGGTCTCGTTCTATTTAAGCGAGCGCGTGGAATTAAGTAACACGGCCCCGCTTGTCTTTCAGCGCCGCGTCCGTTCCTCTCCTTCCTTCGCNCCCTCTCTCTCTCTCTCTCTCTCTCCCTTCCCCCCGTATATAGGGCCAACAACAAACGCGTTGTCACCCGACCGATGCACGCTTCGCTTCGAAAACTCGCGTGCTCGCTCGCTTATGCACGCGCGCCTCGCCTCCCGACCGATCGCTTTCCTACCAATTATCTTCCATCTCCCTTCCTTCCAACCGTTCCTTCCTCCTCTCCTCGGCGTTCCGCTCGCCGGTGTGCTCGAGAAACCGTGAACTCCCTCGATCGGCCGGAGCTCGTCGAGCAAAGTAAGTACATGAATCACACAGTTTAATCCACGACCAGGGCCTCTTCTCTATCCCTTTCTATCTCTAACGTA